CATTGGACCAGGCAGGGTTTGCAACCATATTTGAACAGCAGATGGCTTTGTCTCGGACATCTGCACCCCAGAGTGTCAGAATGCGTCATGTCGCTCCGCGTACTCCAATCGCTTCGTGCATCTGCACGTATGCTCGGCATCTCGAATCCCTCAAGGGTCAGCTAACTACATGACGACGTGCGTCTAAGCATGAAGAACGACATGGTACATGGGTTCTGCGACACATGGACGACACAAAGACCGGGTGCGGGAGCGGACGGCTGCACTGGACCGAGCTCAGACCCGATGCATCATCGATTCGCGCGAAAGGGAGTCGATGGCTCGGGTATCTGGCGCAGCAAGCTATACTACCAGCTACCAAAAGTCTAAAAGCGCACTGTCCGGAATGCCCAGACGATACACGATATTGACGTTATTGCTGTTGCGGTTCCTTCATCGTCGGATCCGTGGACGAGACTACGCAGTCAGCCAAGCAGCCCACTGTTTCTTCCACCTGTCGGATCTACTCCGGCGGCTTTCTCAAATGACCGCAGTGAAGGTGGCCTAAGATTGCGGCTCAACGTATATCGGATAGGATTATATTCATGCTTTCTTCTGTGCTGACAGGGCGCTCATCGGTCAGCATGCACGGTTACGTCTGCCTTGCCGACCCCGTCGTCTCGTCTCAACGGCCTAACGATCACCCACCGCCAGGACGCATGAGTTGTTGCTTTTCCCATCGCAAGCCACACATCTGACTTGGACTCCGCGGCCACGTGATGGCCGCGGATCTGTTCCTTCCCGCTGGCGAAGGGCGCTTTTGCTTTTGTGGTGCGGAGAGCAGATGTTACATGGCAACGCATCTCGCTTACAACATTGCGTCCCATATGTCTGGAAAGTTTCTCGGGGTCGTATCCTCATATAAACTGAGTGAGTTGAACGGCGCCGGAGCAGAGATGCCTCTTTTGATCTTTATCCACTCTGAACTTGCATCATGGAACTGGATTATACTCGTGAGCACGGAATACCATCGTTTAAGCCCCAGGGGTCTCGGCATATGTACTGTAGGTATGACCTGCATGTGTGAATCTCAACAAGATTGTCACATGGATCCTCATCGCAGCGGCAACTATTACCGTCCATACGAGAACCACGAATGATTTTCGCGTAGTAAGCTGGGCATATAGGGCCCCCTGCAAAAACGGTAAGTAGGTACACCGCTGCCGCAAGGTAAGACAGCATTCCGGCTATCTGGGTAATTTCGCCCATCTTGTCGCTCCAGGGTTCTAGCTGACGAGTACCAAGAAAGGGCAATAATCATTGCTGGTATCGACGTGTAATGTGGCTGGACCCTTTCTTCCCCCATTCCAACCAATCTCCTCTCGATCACGCGCCGAAAATGCAACTATGATACATTGTCGGATAGCGCATCCATCCATACAAGCCCGCTGCGCAACGAGCCGAGGGACGTGTATGGCTGGGACGCGCATCCGTTTTACTTTTCCCTTTGACATGGATTCTCGCTTTACCCGTCACCATCTCCTACCCCATTGAGCTGGCATGGGAATCTCGTCATGCAAATGTTCAACCTTGCAAAGTGGAGACCTCACATGTCGCTCCCGATGCAATGCAGGTTGAGTCACAGCGTCGTTTGCAATCGCAGGAGCTGCTAGTCTGGTGTTAGTGTCGTATCCCGAGGTTTGGGATCGTTTGATTCGCGTCGTCTTGTCGCATGGGCGGCTAGTTCTACTGTGTCATTCGGACCGACTTGGGTCAATTGGTACGAATACTGGGGATGATTTCGATGGGGGGAATATTGGAAAAGGAATGAGAGCATGGTTTAAGGCCAAACGGCATTTAACGCCGTCTCCATTTACACGCTGCGGAAAGCTGCGATCTTGTGGAGTTTGACTAAGTGCAGGGGTAGATCCGCGATCGGTAAATACAATTGACCCTAGATCTCAGGGATTGAGGTATTTCTTCAGGTAGTATTCGCGATGACAATTGAGTTGGCCTTGGCTTCTGCATCTCTTGGACTTGTGGCGGCTGACTAGATGGACAAGCGGGGTTTGTTGTCGCTACTATTGCGTATGCAAATCTTATTGTTGTTGTTTTTCTGGCAAGATCTCTCGTACAGCGCTAGGTAACGTACCAGCTTAGCGCCAGGTGGTTTCCAACGCCTCCAACACCACAATGTCTGATGGACCGCGGCAACCGAGACAGCCGCTCTCGACGCCGTCGTTTGCTGGCTCTGGTATGTGTGAAGATCTCCATTCTTTTCTTGAGCATCGACCTGGCGTATGGAGCTTTTACCCGCTTTGCAAAGGCTCTCGGACCAAACCGGCTCTCCCTGGAGTACCACCGGAAATATGATATGCGCAAGAAGCAAGCATCGTGGATATTGGCGATCCGCTCGACAAGGCTCGACACGGCTCCCGCTTGTTCAAGGGCTTCTTTGACTCGCTATCGCTCAGATCACATAGCTCTCATGCTACGAAGAAGCTCGCGCCTTCTGTCATGTATACTAATCATATACTATCGTAAACATATACGATACGTCATGTGGAGAAACGTGGTGTTGGGAGAGACGACGTGTACCTTCAGTGTATGGTACACTAGCAGTTGAAACAAGACGAGTTTCTTCGTCCATTCAGACCCAACCTTGGAATTTTCGCATCTCTCCGAGATCTGAGCGAAAAGAAAGCTGATTGCCAAGCCAATGGTTCCCCAGCCTCGACGCCGAAGAGTGAAACAAAAAAGACAATTTCTGTTCACGTAACAGCCGGATAATCGAGACGAACCCAAGGTTAAATTGCTATTCCATCGATTCGAAGATCCAAAAGCTGACGCGACGACTAGAAAAACAAGTTCATTAACCGTCGAAGCATTTCCCCCGGAAGCAGCCGTAGAACACATCGTCTGCATAATAGCCACATCTGCCATATGTTGCACCAGATTTGGTACCTGGGTCTCGTACCTGCATCCAGCCTCACGGTACGGTCCCTCAAACCGCTACCGTGCGCACCAAAGTCAGGTACAGTACCACAAAAACGTCTCAACCCTCCTGTGGTTCGCAGTACGATCTACAACCGCCGCGAAGGGGAAAATTATGTACCTGCATACCTAGGTGATGCGCGGATCACTATAGTTTCATTGAGACGACTCGGAACCAGAATCTGTCAACCAGGTTCTCGGGTATTGCCCTCCTCTGTCCATTGACTATTAACATGGTCGAAGGTAGTATTTCCTCGACACGAGTTCGGAAAGAGGCGAAAGGTAGCATTCAACAAAGCCTTGAAGTGTTATTCAGAGGTTCTGATTCGAAGATCTAATGAAGCCACACAAAAATACATTTATTCGCACAAAAGCAGCACTTTCTGCCCATGATTTTCTCCGGTAGCGGATGTTTCAAGCAAACAAAACATTACCCGGTCGATCAAAGTTGGTAAAAGAAAAAAACCACCATTCTAGCACGTTTCGACGCGCCTAATTTAGGACGAAGATTCTCGGTCACGCCGTAAGGGGAAGTGTATACTAGACTGGAATGATGTGTTCAAGGCTATGGAGGCGGAAGCGGGTAGGTCTGTTCTATGTGCACCGGCGGCTGTATGGGTAGAGTTGATGGGATTGGAAATGGGAGGGAAGAAGCAAGTTTGCTTGTCTAATATCTTTTGCTAGCGAATCGTTCACGCAGGATGCCGTTCGGGGAGGACGGGATAGGAGGCTAGATACTCTATACCAGCACCAGGGTGATGGTAGGATGTAGGGAGAAACCGCAAGTTCAGACCATCTCAGATATTGGCAGACTAATGGGCGGCTTCGGTGCTTACCGTAGCTATGGATACTAGATCCGAGGTTTGGATGTTGAGGAAATCGAAGGGTTGTAATTGCAATTAAGTGGAAATACAGGAGAGTCTCGACGGAAGGTCAGCGGGAAAGCCGATGTTGCCTCGTCTTTGGAGTTTGAGACTTGGCTGAGCGTGCTGCGTGATTGAGTAGAACGGTATTTGGTCTGAGTGCGTAGTGATCAGCATTTCACGATACAGACATATACATGTGGCGACTACTATCGTGATAGATATCCAACTATGCACTATCCTTCAAAGTGATGAGATATATGTACTGATAGGCAAGCAGAACGAACATCCCAAACTTGAAGCAACATCAGTCAGTCAAACAAGCCGCCATCATGTCGTCAAAGAGTTGAACCGATTTTGTGCTGAGATTAGAGACTCAATATTTCCCATCATCTCACATCACAGCAACCTTTGTGACTGTCAAATCAATGTTCTAGTTATCAAGGGCCCCATACTCTCAAAAGCTCACCTATGTTCCTCACTGTCCGTATGCTTCCACCCCGCAATGAACACTGCTGTTTTGTCTTCGCAGGAGCTACTTCAACGATTCTTGAATGATGTCGTCAAACCCACTCCCTTTCCCACAATGCCTGACTCTACACATCTTCCCTCTGATTTCGTGGATTTCAGTCAAACGAGATGTGAACCTTGTCAAGGATGATAACGAAAGTAAGACGATTGATGTTTTGGCATGTGAGAAGGGCAGTGGTGTCTTCCAGAACTCTTTCGACCCAACCTATCCACCACACTTTATCAGCATAACATATCATGCCATCTCAGACTCGCGCGCCCCGTGGTCTCAGACGAACCATCTTGCTCGGGTTGTAGCCCGCCATACTGGACTCATTCACCCTGTGCGTCGTAAAGTGGCGTCGTATGAACAAGATTAGAGAACGATGATCTAGCTTGAGTAATTGTAGAATGCTCTTGGAGATTGTGTGAATGCAGTTTCCGGAGCTCAAGGCTCAATATCATGCATTGAGCCTTTGGGCTCCGATCTTCAAGGAAAGGGACAAGGGAGCACGAAGACCACCATGGATTGACTGAAGATGTTCTGGATGGGCCTAGCATTCTACGATAGGTCCCGTATAACGAGAATTTACAAACAGGAAAGCACTCACACGCTTGATAGTGTTTACAATCACCCCTTCCCACTAACGCCGATTACCTGAGTGGCAGCTCGGTCTTCGATTCAAAGCTGTACCGCATCCATTCGCCAACAGCTCTCAAGCTCTCCCACCGTACGCTCTCATCTGCCTCTTGCATCAGCTCCATAACTCTGCCCTTCAGCCCCAACTTCTCAAGCTGTTGTCGCTTTTCTGGCACTTCCTTGACCAAACATGCTACGTCGTTGCAGCCAATAGCCAATACCTGCTTATCGTTGTCCCAGCTCTTAGATAGAATCTCCGCAAGCTTTCGGGGTAGTTCACCCTTGTTGTCTTCTAAGATGCGACGCGCATTCTCTTTCCAGAACGTAGCGTTACGGTGCGGCGGTGACCAGCGAAGGTGGCCCGACTGCAGCTCAGCAGCATACTCGTCAAAGGTAGTTTGTGTCTTGGTGTACTCCTCGAGGAGATCGGTCAGGGCCTGTAGGTCTTCAAGAGCATCCTCGTCGGTCAGATGTCGTGACTTCAAACTCGAGAGGAGAGCAGGTAGACGCGCGAGTACGGCCGTTGGAAGTAGCGTGTTGCGGTTCGTGGTCAAGAGGTTTACGAGGGTGGAAAGGAGGAGACGAGTGGTCTTTTCTTTAGGCGAGACCTTGAGGAGTTGCGTGTATAGGATGACGATGTCGTGTTCCCTGTAAGGTGTTAATGTTTGCGAAACGTGAAATAGGGAAGGCACTGTACTCCTGAAGTCCTTCGCCCACAAGTTCGCCCTCAAAGCTGAGCTGCCAGATGACGAGCAATACATGGTATAGAAGCTGGAGGCCAACACCACCAGCAATACCACCATCCGTTGTACTGCGAATACTGGCACCACCACTGTACAGGGTCGAGTCCGTGTCTTTGGCAGACCCGGCCGCAGCTCTCAGGATATCAAACAGAGGGCTAAGTGTCTCCTTCCTTTGCTTCCAGAATATGCGCCTAGACTTAGTACTGCGCAATACGGCCGAGTATTCCCGTACAGCAATGTCCTGCAGACCGGCGTCGGATGCTTTTGCGAGTGTAGAGAGGTAGGTGAAGAGCTGCGCTAAGGCCTCATCGAGCTGGGGGGTGTTCTTGGCAGATGTTGTGACAGCATTAGACAGAAGGCCGGATAGGACGGAAGACGTCAGGAGCGGTACGGGGTCTTCGTTGTTGGATGAAGCCTTCAAGAGTGGTAGGAAAGGCTTGTAGGGCGCTGGGTGCTGGACGAGGGCTGATGTAAGGGCGGGTATGTCTGGAACTGTATGAGCTTCACCGCTGTTCTAGAGAGGTTCTAGATCTCCTACCATCAATCATGTCTCCCAGCAAGACCAGCATGTAGTGAATGATGTCTTGGCGCTTCGCAGCTGCCTCGAAGATGCTCTGCGACCCATTTCCGCCCACTAGCAGTGTCACGAAGCTATCCACATCTGACTCGATGGTCTGCTTCCTCTGTTCCTTGCGCACTTTATCGATTGACTTGATCTTCTTGAGGTCTTCGTCGGTGATGGTCTTAGCTCGTACAGCTCCTTCCCATGATATAGGCCGGGCGCGGATGTTGTTCTGGATAGAGGTGAGGTACGTCGGCGGGTCTAGCGAAGACATTGCGAATATCGTAGTAGGCGGTTATATATTGGTGATGTGCGGCTTCGGTGCCTGGAGTCGTAGTATTGGAGCTCTGCCCAGGTGATGTTGGTTGCTGTGAGGCCCACCTGGGAGCTCCGTCATGGTGCGGAGCTAGTGGAGCTAGGATCTTTTGATATCTTGGCATCCACCAATCTTTCGCAAACACCATCACTCCGCGCCTTCGGAGTTCAACAATCAACACACCTTGCGCAAACATGGAGTACTTCAGTCTGAAGCGGTCGACCGCTGCCGATCATGGCCAATCCAACCTGTCCAGCAAGGTCTACGTGCGGTCCACGAAAAGTGGCAAGGTCCAGAAAATTGTGAGAGAACTGTATCTGCGACAGGACATTCCATGCTCGTCCAATCTTTGCAGGGCATGTCTAGAGATTGCGCCGACCGACTACTCGAAGAAAGGTTTGACCGCGAAACTCCACATGCAGAGTTAGACTAACCTTTTTCAGTCGCACCATTCGTCCTATCAGACACACCAGCAGGATCCAAGGACTTCCCAAATGGCCAATATCTCATTCCGGATACGAATGCCTTCCTTACCGGAATGGACTTGTTCGAGGTGGAGACCGCTTTTCATGATGTTATTGTCCTGCAAACTGTGCTAGAGGAAGTCAAGAACCGCTCCCTACCTCTGTATCATCGTCTGATCTCCCTGACCAAGAACGAAGGAAAGCGTTTCTACGTATTTTTCAACGAGTTTAGGCAAGAGACGTATGTAGCACGGGAAGCTGGAGAAACGATCAATGATCGAAACGACCGAGCTGTGCGCAAAGCCGTGCAGTGGTACAACCAACACATTACGGAGGCTGTTCAAAAGCGGAGCAAGAAACAGACGCGCATCCCTACGGTAGTAATGATCACCGATGATAGAGACAACCTGCGGAAAGCCAAGGCCGAGAAAGTCCCAGGCAAGACTCTGTCCGACTTTGTCTCTGGCCTCGAAAACTCCGATGAGCTTCTAGATATGATCAGCGCAGCACAAGAGCAGCGAGAAGTCAGGTCGAAAAAGCCAGAGATCTTCTACTCCGAACATTACACAGTCTCCAAGATGATGACTGGCGTGAAAGCTGGAACGTTACACCAAGGCATTTTCAACGTCTCCCCATACAATTATCTGGAAGGCTCAGTTCACGTGCCCGCATTCGACAAATCGCTCCTCATCCTAGGACGTGAGAACAGCAATCGGGCTGTCTCTGGCGATGTCGTAGTTGTTGAAGTACTGCCTAAGGATCAGTGGAAGGCGCCTTCAACCAAGATCATTGAAGAGGAGACGGTGAACAAGAATGACAACGCAGAAGCCGAGGAAGGCGAAAATGTTATTCCAGAGAGAGAGCGACGAGCGCTACAAGAGGAGGTCAAGCGAGTACATGGGCAGACTATAGAGGGCAGGCCACAGCCAACTGCGCGCGTAGTGGGTGTCATCAAGCGGAATTGGAGACAATATGTGGGCCACATCGATCGCGACTCCGTTCGCTCCTCTTCGAAATCGAGCAGACAACAACAGACCGTATTTCTTGTCCCAATGGACAAGCGCATTCCTAAGATCCGGATACGAACACGGCAAGCTGGAGAGCTCCTTGGTCAACGCGTTCTGGCGACAATCGACTCCTGGGATAGAGACTCTCGATACCCGGTCGGCCATTTTGTACGATCACTCGGCGAGCTTGAGTCTAAGGGCGCAGAGACCGAAGCTTTGCTACTGGAGTGGGATGTTCAATACAAGCCCTTCCCGAAGACAGTTCTTGACTGTCTGCCCGCAGAAGGTCACGACTGGAAAGTACCAGCTAGCTTGGAGGATCCAGGCTGGAAGGGACGCAAGGATCTTCGCGACCTCTTGGTATGCTCTATCGATCCTGTTGGTTGTGTTGACATCGACGATGCTCTCCATGCCCACAAGCTGCCGAATGGCAACTATCAAGTCGGTGTCCATATTGCGGACGTGTCTCATTTCGTTAAGCCGAACAACGCCATGGACAAGGAAGCCAGCCAGCGCGGAACGACCGTTTACCTAGTCGACAAGCGCATAGACATGTTGCCTATGCTTCTAGGGACAGACCTGTGCTCCCTGAAGCCATACGTAGAGCGTTACGCTTTCTCGGTAATTTGGGAGGTTACAGAGGATGCTGACATCGTCTCTTCCTACTTCACCAAGTCCGTCATTCGGTCGAGAGAAGCCTTCAGCTACGAACAAGCCCAAATCCGCATAGACGACGCCTCGCAGCAGGACGACCTCACGAAGGGCATGCGAACTCTGCTTATGCTTTCCAAGAAGTTGAAGCAAAAGCGAATGGATGCTGGAGCTTTGAACCTGTCTTCGCCAGAAGTAAAGGTCCGAACTGAATCTGAGACATCAGACCCGGCAGACGTTCAAACCAAGAAGCATCTTGATACCAACTCGCTTGTGGAGGAGTTCATGTTGCTCGCCAACATCAGCGTCGCTGCAAAGAACTACGAAGCCTTTCCGCAAACAGCGCTGCTTCGTCGTCACGCTGCCCCTCCAAAAACCAACTTCGAAGAGCTAGATAACCAACTCAAGGTCAAGAAGGGAATGGAGCTTAAGACAGACAGTTCCAAAGCTTTGGCTGACTCACTCGACAAGTGTGTCGATCCCAGCAACCCGTTCTTCAACACTCTTGTCAGGATTATGGCGACACGTTGCATGATGTCCGCAGAGTACTTCTGTGCCGGAACACAAGCGTATCCCGAGTTCAGGCATTATGGTCTTGCGAGCGAGATCTACACTCACTTCACATCCCCGATTCGCCGCTACGCTGATCTCGAAGCACATCGCCAGCTTGCTGCTGCCATTGAATACGAGCAGTTGGATCCCAGCCTACAGTCAAAGGCCAAGCTTGAGGCTGTGTGCAAGAACATCAACGTGCGCCATCGCAACGCACAAATGGCCGGTCGCGCTTCCATCGAGTACTACGTCGGGCAGGCACTCAAGGGCAAGGACATCAACGAGGAAGGTTTCGTCATGAAGATCTTCTCCAATGGTTTCGTGGTCTTTGTACCAAGATTTGGAATCGAGAGCCTCATCAGATTGAGGGATCTCGCCACACCGGAGCCAGAAGCTGATTTCGATGCCGAGAACTATGTGTTGAACATCAAGGGCGATGTCAAGCGGACTATCGAGCTGTTTGAGAAGGTGACTGTCAGGATCACGGATGAGCTTGAAGAGAGCACTGGAAAGAGAAAGGTGCGCTTGAGCCTGGTATGAGTTCTAAGGGAACTATCTGTTGGCTCAAGTTCTTAGGCGTTCAAGGCACGAAAATGGGAAGGGTCCTTCCATCTATTGTAACGTTAGACCTCTTCGGAGTTGTGGCCATAGCAATTCCAGTCGATACACATGCGGTTTACTCTATTGCATTGTCTCTCTTGATCGCTGTCTGCGTCTCGAACGAGCATCTACACGTTACTGACTATTAATTTTCAGGTAAACGGCTCGTACTCCGGTACCTAGGCCCTTAGCATGAATGTCACTTCGCCTTCTAGATGTCCAAAAAACAATTGACAAATAACGGCAGCGAGCCAACAAATGCACCAGCGTCTCCATTCAGTCGTGCTCCGACGCTTCTCTTGCTCTCAACCAGGCTTGCAGGTCCGACTTGACAGCAGCTTCCTGTTCGACATAACCCAATACTCGCATTCGGTATCGTCGCGCCCACACTCTTGTCTCGGACCCTTCTCAGCACGGTTCGACAAACTTCGCTGATCAACGCATATCCAACCCTTATTCTGCACGCGCAACCGCATTGCGCAAGCGACGCACCGACGAGTTCAGTTGCGACATGCCGACTCACGACATGCCGCTTCTCCACGTTCGGCCACGCCGACAAGGTTTACAACGGCTCCTGGGCATGCGCTTACCCCTTCTTCGCACTTGCATTACCAGACTGTCTGATCTCGATCACCCCATTCTCACGCCATGGCATTGCGAACCGGAGTTGCGATCTGTAGAAGTATAGCTACTACCAGGAACATTCAATGCCGATCATCTATACTTACCCCGTGAAGAGCAGCACGGCTGGTAGAAAACAAGCCACCACAAACGAGGAGATGGGTTATCTCTTTCCCGTCCAGGGCAATGGCGTATAAGGTGGCGCAAGATTAGCCCGGCAACGGACCGAGCCCGTTCTTGCATCTCCATGATCTACAGCGGAGGTTTGAAGACCGAAGTCGCGCGGTTGTCGTTCGGCAAACCTGCTCTTCAGAAGTCTACACGAGCTGCAAACCAGCCCCCATCTCGCTTGCGTGTGCATGTCTGGAGAATGACAGAAGGGGCGGTGGCGCTTGGAAAACGTTCCTGTCGTTCGGGAACGACAGCGAGGCTGGTGCGTAGCTGGAAGGGTGAGCGAGAGGTCGCTTATAAGGTTTGTCGTATGTGAATAGCGCGGACACGACTCCGGGATGCGGATGCTTGCAGGAGATTGTGAAAGACGGTTGTGTTGCGCGCATTACGAGCTTAGATCCGCAGTGGAGAGATGGTTTACCACCGTCGAGCCGCGCAGACATGCATCTGTAAGATGGAGATGGGCATACAGCCGTGTCGCTACCGTTGGTGTGCAGTAGGTGAAACTCGTTCGGTCCCCGCAACGAGATCAAGGTTCACTCGGAGTTTGGTACGATGTCGGCCCCGATATCGTAGCGTGCACTTTCCACAAGTTTCCAGCATAGAGTTCACTTGTTCCCTGACAAATCGTCACGATGATGATCATGTTGGGGGCAGTGATTCAGTGGCTTGTTCTTGATGACATTGTGCGCAAAGTCGGAGAAAGAGGCATTGAGAGGATCTGGAAAGACATGTGAAGGTACGCAATGAGGGAGTAGAATGCCATTGGCGGCGGCTGAATTCTCCGGACGATTCAGTACCCTGATGAAGGCGGCAGAGTGCAACTCTGGGAATACGCGACTGCTCATGACCGTTCCGCAACAGCAAAAGTAAATCTACTCACCATGATAAG